TAGATTACTATCCTAAGTGCAGTCAGGCGTAACATCAGCTATATAAGACTGAAATCTTAGTAAATCAGGGTCAGTTGTTAAACGCGGATCCGGGAACGGAGTTGAGAATGCATGCCTACGTGCGGAGAGGGTTTTTCTGCATGCAACGATGTAGCATTCTTTAATAACAAATTTACGACATAGCAATGTGGAATAATTGAACTTCATATATCTTGTATGATAAGTAAAGGCGTGAAATGTTAATTTTTTTTTCTTTCTTCCTTTTTTTTGGTTTAACTCGTTTGGGGTTATTCATACTAATCGGTACTTCCCACCTCCCCACCCAGTCCTCGTCCTGCGCGCCTTGGCTCACGGGCTCGCATTTCCCATAACTCTATCTCCCGTGAGCTGATCTGCTGATGTTAGCAGGAATGCAGTTAGGATAGATTACTAGAATATAATTCCTGGAGGACCGGCTCGTCATTTTTCGGTAACTTCGCCGCCATGTTTTTGAAGCCGAAAACATGGCGGACTTCGCCCTTCTGCGCATGCGTAGAAGCTCTGCTGACGCTACCTGGTCACTGAGCTATATTAAATTCCTGGAGGACCGGCTCGTCATTTTTCAGTAACTTCGCCGCCATCTTTTTGAAGCCACCAATATGGCGGATTTCGCCTTCTGCGCAGTGCGCAGAAGCTCTGCTGACGCCACATGGTTCCTTTTGACCATGGTATTTACCACTGACCAGGCTCAATTCTGAGCCCGCTACAGCAGTATTCTCCCCCCTGGTTTTTGTAAATAACAATTCTCCCCCCTGGTTTTTATATATTTTTTGCCGTGATCATCAAATCTTTTTTGTTTTTGAAATGTTTTTAGGTTGTTTTTTTTTATATTTTTCGCCCTGACATACAATAAAGTTTTATTTTGAGATGAATACAAGTCATACACGCTGTTTTTGCCAGTGCAGGAACAAATATATATTAAAATATGGAAAAATGTGGACAAACTAAATATTTTAAATACTGACACGAACTGACAGGTTTATTATTTTATTTTCGTAATAATATTTTTGTTATTTATACTTTCCAACATGAAAGTTTACAAATGTTTGAATGTTTTGGCACTATCCTCGCATATTTTGAAGACAACTAGGAATTTATGGGCAACAATTTGACTTTTCTAAACCCTAAACTATTTAGTATGTGATGTTATCTTCGTAGGCTCCACTGATTACCTAATGAATATAGCCCTCTTGGAGGTTGATACCATAAACAGAAAGTTATAAAAGTTGCTGCAGATTGAAGACACACTGCTCAGTCAATGCATGTTTATTTTTATTTCATTCATTAATAAATATGACAAATGGTATAAAAACACCAGCCAACAACAAAATCAGATAACATGGTAATGAAGAATAACAATGCACAGTCATAAAATGCATATGAACTTCATCTTGAAAAATAAAAATGGAGATATGATCAAGATTTATTCACAAGGTACAAGAAAATGGATTAAAAGCTGTGATAATTGATCATTTCACTTTGAATTTGACCAGGTAAAAAAAAATATATTAACAGGCTTTAACAGGGTTCATTATCAGAGGTTGGAATTAATTTACACTGTTTACAGCATCTTATCATTCTGTATCAGCACCCTCAGTGTAGGTTTGAAACGTACACGTAGTCTGGAATATTGATATGTTGCCATTTCCATGGCGACGGAACGCATGTATTATTAGTCTTTAGTTTTAAAGTATCAGGTATCAGTATATTGTCAACTCAAACAGAGCGAGAACGGTAAACATCTATAAATCTATACGAACGAATTATCATCAATATCTATTCAAGTTTGGTGTGCGCCAACCAAAGTAAGTTACATTTATCTTGTAGTAGTCAGTTCGTTATTCTCTATTCTCAATCGCGTAGAGTGTCAAATCGTATTCATGTATATATTATGCTTGTGTTAGTTTGCGCGCATGCCATAATCTATGTAAATCTTTTCTAAATTGTGTAGTTCGAACCCACAAACATATCTATATCCATATCCGCAACCATACCAATCTATCTACCAAACCTCAACCTCAATCTCTATCGAGAATCAACAACAGAACATTGTATAATTATAACTGGTATTAAAGTTATTGTTTATGTGTGATCTGTGTGTGTGGAGTTCGTTTATTGCTGCGCATCATACTTGAATTGACTCTTGGACTTTGCGCATTTCAACAATCTGCCCAGAGAGTCTACATTAGTTCGAATTTGAAGGCACAGTATATCAAATCCTGCGCTCGAAGCAAATATATCCCCAACTATAATATATGCGTGAAATCCGGCAGCCACCATGTGCACGATACGCTATCTGTCAATCAAGTCTACTTAAGTCAGCTGTCAACACTCGGGGTGGTAATCAACTTAACTGCACCTGCGATCCGTTTACTAATTTGTGATTACGAAGTTAACACCTGAGAATGGGTGACGAGAATGAACACTCAGTCGAAGAACTTAAAAGGATTCGCAGTTCCGCGAAAGCAAATGTGACGCCTAAGATAAATAGGCTTAACGAACTTATGTCTAGCAACAATATTCAAGCCGTGGAAGAGACAAAAAACGACCTTTTCGAAACTGTGAACGAATTTCAACTCGCGCATAAAGCTTATCACGAAAAGCTCGATAATGAAGAGGAGAAATCGAACTCGTCTCAGTATTGCGCAGTCGTGTTAGAAGAAGCGGAAAAACATAAAAAACAAAGGTACATATCTTGGCTAAGCGAAAATCAGAAGAATGATATAACGGCCGATATCCGTCCTGAAGATTCGATTAGTAACGTCAGCTCCTTGCGGTCAAAAAAATCCAAGACGAGCTCGGTGAGAAGTTCAGCAAGCGCTAAAGCCAGAGCTGCAGCGAAAAAAGCAGCGTTAGAAGCTAAAGCAGCGTCACTTCAAACGTTGCATGAACTCCAGTTTGAGGAATTGAAACTTCAACAAAGAAAAGCGGAAGTAGAGCTTCGCGCCGAAATAGCTGTTGCAGAGGCTGAACGAAAGGTATACGAAGAGAGTGAAGTCGAAGAAATGTATAGTCAAGTAAATAAGAGTTCTGGTTTGCATGAACATTCGCAAAAAATGAATTATGTTTCCACGAGTAGTCCTGCTATAGGATCGAGTAAACGTCCCGATCAACCAAATATTCACAATGTACCATCGAATAGTCAGTTAGAAAACCCTATTCCTAGTAAAGTGCCTCTTAATCATAAAGAATGGAACGACGACAAGCCGGTTGAAAACGATCAGAGCATAAATAATCAACACGAAAATTTTCGAGACGAGTCATTTCAAATGCTAATGGAAACACAAGATCGTCAAAATACCGCGCTACGGCAGTTGATTGAACAGCAACAACAAGGAGTTATGGCATTAACACTACCCCAGCCCATGATGCAGATCTTTGATGGCGACCCGATTAGCTACTGTGATTTCGTTCGTGCCTTCGAGCATCTTGTGGAAAGCAAAATCATCAATCCAAGTGCACGATTGTACTATCTTGTACAATACACCTCGGGCCACGTACAAGAACTGATGAAGAGCTGTCTTACCATGAAATCCAGTGAAGGATACGTCGAAGCAATGCGGCTTTTAAAGGAAAGATATGGTCAAAACTATCAAATTGCTTCCGCTCACGTAAATCGTTTGATCAATGGCCCTGTCATAAAATCCGACGATGGTGTTGAGCTCCAGAGATTTTCCATCCAGTTAACGAGTTGTGCTAACACGTTGAAGAAGATCGGGTGTATCGGGAAACTCGACAACTCAGAGAACAATGCGCTACAAATGGCGAGATGTAGTTGACAGAACAGTGGAACAAGAAAAGAGAGACATAACAATCAACGATGTGACGAAGTTCGTAACAAGTCGAGCGAGAGCTGCAAATCATCCTGTTTTTGGAAAAGTAGACAAGGAAAGAAAGGAAAAGATTGATCCTCACCAAAGACGACCGCGTCCACCAGGAATCAGAGCAAATGGATTTGCTACTCACGGCGAAGAGGACAACCAAGAAGGAGCAACGAAACGAAAGGCATGTCCATCGTGCAAACAGAACCACTGGCTTTCACGTTGTGAAAGGTTCCGTAAACAGTCGTTAGAAGACAGAAAGAGGTTTGTAAAGGACGAGAAGTTATGCAATAACTGCCTACTTCCTGGACATTATGTTCGCTCCTGCACGAAGCAAAGTTTTTGTAAGGTTCCAGAATGCACTGGAAAGCACTCGACCTTTCTTCATCCGAAGAGCAACAAAGACAGCAAGAATTCTAATCAACAAAACGAGGAAGAACGCAAAGAATCAGAAGAGGATTCAAAGTCAGCCCATACAGCTTATGTCAAAATGTCCGTAAAGCCCAATGTCTCAACACGCAGTTCAACAGCTACAGCACTGGCTATTGTCCCGGTTCAAGTGAAAGCGAAAGGTGGGTCAGCGTTCGTAGAAACTTATGCATTCCTCGATTAGGACGAAACACTTCGTTCTGTACTGAAACCTTGCTGAAGCAACTCACGTAAGTGGAAACACAACAAATCTTTCGTTGACAACAATGCAGGGAGAAAATATACCTGTTCAATGTTCCTTAGTAAGCCTCGAAGTTTCCGACCTTAACGCTGTAAACCACGTCGACCTACCAGTGGTGTATTCAAGACCATCTCTGCCTATTTCGCCCGACGCAATTGGCAAGGAAGAAGATGTTCAACGTTGGCCACATTTGAAAGATATACCCTTGCTGGAAATTGATGCCGAGATTGGTCTCCTCATCGGCAGCGACGTACCAGAAGCCTTACAGCCCATTGAAGTGCGCCCAAGCGAGAATGGTGGTCCATTTGCAACTAAACGGTCTTTGGATGGGTACTAAACGGTCCTCTTGGAGGAAGCAAATCAAAGATTCCAACCACCAACTTTGTGCAATCGCCGATGTATTAGAAAGCCAGTTCTACGACTACTGCAACCGCGAGTTTAACGATTCAAACTACGAAGTAGAACCGTCAATGTCCCAGAACGATAAAAAGGCCTTGAAAATTATGGAAGATTCCATCAAGTTAGACAATGGACATTACGTAATCGCGCTACCCTGGAAAAATTATCCACCGCAACTACAAAACAACCGATCCCTAGCTGAACAACGACTAAGTTCACTCAAACGGCGTCTCCAACGAGAACCTATCGTGCACGAGAAGTACACGGCGTTTATGAACGACCTCCTGAACAAGGATTATGCAAGGAAGGTGAATCACGAAGCTCAAGATCCGTCTAAAATCCTTTGGTACCTTCCCCATCACCCAGTGTTGAATCCCCACAAACCCGAGAAGGTGAGAGTAGTCTTCGATTGCTCTGCTAAATACGGTAATACATCACTCAACGACCAACTGCTACAGGGGCCGGATATGACCAGTACTTTAGTCGGCGTACTCACGAGATTCAGAGAGGAAAGAGTGGCAATGACGTCAGATATTGAGTCCATGTTCTACCAAGTTCGTGTAAAACCAAGTGACTGTAGCACATTAAGATTCCTGTGGTGGCCAAATGGAAGGCTCGATGAACCTGTTGAAGAGTACGAAATGCAAGTGCATCTGTTTGGCGGAACATCATCACCAAGTTGTTCAAATTTTGCTCTGAGACGAACAGCAGAAGACAACAAGTCAGAGTTCGATCCGCAAACCATTGAAACAGTCAAGAGGAATTTCTATGTTGACGACTGTCTCAAGTCGGTGAAGTCCGATGAAGAAGCAGTGAGAAGGGCAAGTCAGCTACGCGAGTTGTTGTCGAGAGGTGGTTTCAGATTAACCAAGTGGAACTCGACGTCACAAAAACTCATCAAGTCTTTACCAGAGTCAGAAAGAGCCGAGAAAATCAAGGATCTCGACTTTGACAAGCTGTCCATCGAAAGAGTACTGGGAGTCCAGTGGAACGTCTCAACCGACCAGTTTGGTTTCATCAAGGTTCGCCCCCTGACTAGAAGAGGAATACTATCTGTAGTAAGTTCGGTGTTTGATCCGTTGGGATTCGCGGCACCATTCATCCTTCAAGCAAAGCAAATTCTGCAAGAATTATGCCGATTGAAGCTCGACTGGGACGAAACCATTCCCGAGAAGTTTCAAGATCGTTGGCAATCATGGCTACGAGATCTACCAAATTTAGAAGAGTTAACAATCGATGTTGCTTCAACCTAACAATGAAGAAATTGCGTCAACTCAACTGCATCACTTCGCAGACGCTTCTCAAGAAGGTTACGGAGCAGTTACGTACCTGAGAATCGAGAACAATCAAGGAGAAGTCAAGTGTTCGTTTGTCATGGGAAAATCTCGCCTCGCGCCAATCAAGTCAGTGACAATTCCTCGTATGGAACTATCTGCAGCGGTCACGGCGGTTAAGTTAAACAAGATGTGTCAAGCAGAATTAAGCCTACCAGTTGACGAAACGCTGTTTTGGACAGATAGTACCTGCGTACTCAAATACTTGGAGAATGAAGAAAAACGTTTTCAGACCTTTGTTGCGAACCGCATCAGCGTTATACGAGAGGCTTCCTCTTTGGAACAGTGGCACTATGTCAGGACCGATGACAATCCTGCGGACGATGCATCTAGAGGAGTTTCGGCTGCTCAACTACATCGCTGGATACATGGCCCAACGTTTTTGCAGCAACCCATTAGTACTTGGCCACAACGAACAGCAGATATCAATCTGAAAATCGCGCCAGACGATCCAGAAGTCAAGAAAGAATCAGCAGCTTTCGCGTGTGGAACCATTGGTCCTGATTTCCTTACCACTGTTATACCAAGATGTTCGTCTTGGAGCCGCCTAGAAGAATTGTTGCTTGGGTTTTGAGATTCACGTCGAACCTGCTACGTCGTGTTCGAGAAAAAGAGAGTGTTAGAAGGGCTACGCAAACAACGACGATCGCCCCAATAACCGTCTCCGAATTGCGTGAAGCTGAGAAGCAAATCATTAAGCACGTTCAACAAGTAGCCTTCTTAGAAGAAACTAGCATATTGGCGAAGAAAGAAAGCGAGGAATCAAATTGCAAGGGGATAAAGAAATCAAGCGCTATTTATCAACTAGATCCCACCGTCAAAGACGGCCTGTTACGTGTTGGTGGACGACTACGACGAGCCGAGATCAGCGAAGAAGCGAAACATCCCTGTATTCTGCCAAAAACCCACCACGTTGTCACCTTAATCGTGAATTATTACCATCATGTCTCCGGACATTCAGGCCTGGAGCACACGTTGTCTCTCATCAGAGAGAGATACTGGATAATCAATGGAAGGTCAACGGTCAAGAATATCATCGGAAAATGCCACAGCTGCCGAAAACGTCAATCCCCAGTGTCTCAACAAAAGATGGCTGACCTTCCACGCGACAGAGTTACCCCTTCGAAGCCGCCGTTCACTTATACCGGAGTTGATTGCTTCGGACCCTTTGCAGTGAAACGAGGAAGATCTACCGTTAAGCGATACGGCGTCCTTTTCACCTGCCTCACTGTTCGCGCAATCCACATCGAAGTAGCCTCCTCTTTATAGATACGGAATCCTTCATCAACGCTCTCAGACGCTTCGTTGCAAGAAGAGGTCAGCCCGAAGAAATGCGATCAGACAATGGGGGGAACTTCGTAAAGGGCGAGAAAGAACTCAGGCAAGCGGTGAATGATTGGAATCAAACTCAGATACATGAAGCCCTCCTGCAACAAAACGTTAAGTGGACCTTCAATCCGCCAGCCGGCTCTCATCACGGTGGCGTATGGGAGAGGTGCATACGGACAGTCAGAAAGGTTATCCTGGCAACTCTGAAAGAGCAGCAGCTGGACGAAGAATCCCTCAACACCCTTATGTGTGAAGTCGAGTCTGTGGTGAATGGCAGACCCATTACCAAATTGTCGGACGATCCCCGAGATAACGGACCCTTGACCCCCAACCATCTACTGTTGCTACGTTCAGGATCGAGTGTCCCACCCGGTGTTTTCTGTAAGTAAGATGGCTATGGCAGAAGGAGATGGCGTCAGGTGCAATATATGGCAAACGTGTTCTGGCGTCGATGGTTGAAGGAATACCTCCCGTCTCTCCAACGAAGGCAAAAGTGGAGTATCCCGCAGAGAAATTTCGTGGTCAACGACGTAGTTTTGGTGCTGGACGAGAACAAGCCACGGTGCAATTGGCCTCTAGGACGTGTGATTGAAGTTTACACGAATACCGGTGACAAGCTCGTGCGATCAGTGAAGTTGAAGACAAGTTCATCCGAACTCGTGAGACCAGTGGGCAAGATCGTGCTGCTGGAGGAAGATCAAGCAGAGAAGCAATGATCGAGTAACGTACAGTACAATTCTCAAACTTTTATATATTAGCTAGTTTAGTCTATTGTTCAGTTTATTCAATTTGTTTCAAACCATTTGTTATTGTTAGTTATTAGTAAACTCAAACAGAGCGAGAACGGTAAACATCTATAAATCTATACGAACGAATTATCATCAATATCTATTCAAGTTTGGTGTGCGCCAACCAAAGTAAGTTACATTTATCTTGTAGTAGTCAGTTCGTTATTCTCTATTCTCAATCGCGTAGAGTGTCAAATCGTATTCATGTATATATTATGCTTATGTTAGTTTGCGCGCATGCCATAATCTATGTAAATCTTTTCTAAATTGTGTAGTTCGAACCCACAAACATATCTATATCCATATCCGCAACCATACCAATCTATCTACCAAACCTCAACCTCAATCTCTATCGAGAATCAACAACAGAACATTGTATAATTATAACTGGTATTAAAGTTATTGTTTATGTGTGATCTGTGTGTGTGGAGTTCGTTTATTGCTGCGCATCATACTTGAATTGACTCTTGGACTTTGCGCATTTCAACAATCTGCCCAGAGAGTCTACACTCAGATCATGTTAATTCATGTTGGGTGGCATCAATAAAAGAGTGACTATAGTACAGACTCACTGGGGAAATGGTTAACCTATTAACATTGATATTTGCTATCATGAAAACAACATAGACCAAACTCAAAAGATTGACACTGCCAGGAATTTAATTTTTTCCCGAAGTTAAGAAAAAATGATAAAATTTCGGTATATAACATTGCATTGACAGCACTACTGTAATGTCCGGCCAAAAGGCGAAAATAGTATCTTTGCTGTTTGTACCACACGTTTTGATGGATTTATTGTCTCAGAGGCTTTGGTAATCAGTTTATACTATAATCCAAACTCGAAAGGCCGAAAACGGAATTATTTATAGTAAAAAAGTTGAAAAACGGCTTACCTGGATGTTATAAAATAAGAGCAAAATGAGAAAATTCACTCTACCGATAGGTGAATTAAGCCATTCACAACGTCAGACGCAGAGCACGAAGCTACGTGTGCTTTCCATTTGTTGAACAGGGAAAAAGAGAAACAATTTTATCCATTTTATATGAAAAACAAAAAAATATATACGGAAAGCTGAAAATTTTACATAAAAATCGGGAGGGTGATGGACACAGTTTTTCACTGTGTATCGCGGTATGTCAGTGGTAACTACCATGAGCAAAAGGAACCATGTGGCGCACTGAGCTATATAATAATTCCTGGAGGACCGGCTCCTAATGTTTTTTGCTCAATTGCAAAAAGTGAAGCAAAAAACATGGCGGATTTTGGCCTCTGTGACGTCACTTTGACGTCACCTGGTCCCCTTTGCCCATGGTAATTACCACTGACCAGGCTCAATTCTGAACCCGCTACAGTAGATTCCCCCCCTGGTTTTTATGAATATTTTGTTCTTCCGACTGCCGTGAAACCTTGTTGTTCTGTTTTTTTCGATATATTTTTTACCTAACCCGTAATAAAGCGTTTATTTCGGTTATGTACAAGTCATAGGTACTGTTTTTGCAAATGCCGAAACAAACAAATATTGGGCGAACATAAAAAATATTTAATACGTGGACGAAAGTCGAAAATTTTACAATGATATGAAGCTAACAGGTTTTTTCTCTTTTCTTTGCTTTCAATTTCAATATACATTACTGTGTAAAATTTTAGAAATGCTTGAGTTTTTTTGGCATTGTCATAATTTTTTAGTGTCTTTTATGGATACCAATCTGACTTTTTTTAAACCCTGAACAAAAATATTATAGAAAGTATCCAGTTATGTTGTCCTGTGCCCATGTCTGTGCATTAAATCCAAAGAAACAAGGCCTAAGCTCGTGCAAGATATTGAGTGTAGTATGTAGACCTTTGACCTTTGGTAACAATATCCGGTAACATTATACTTGATATGTAGATATAGCGAAGCGTGTGTTTTTGGCTGGGTTGTGTAGTAAACGTGTGAACATATAAATAGAGTTTTATTATAAATTGCGATACAAGCGTGTTCAGTGTTTCCTTCGATATTACATTCATTTGGGCAGCCATTAAACCATGATAAATTGACTTTTGATAAGGCAAACAAGATAACATATTAGACCTTTAACAGTCACTACAAGTCTACCAGAGGTTGAATGAAATATTTTGTATCAGCAGTCAGCACCTCAAAATTAAAAATAATAACTGTTGATAACTTTCGCCTGACACAAGAAAATTTTCCTGTGAATCCTATCGTAATTAAGTCACGTACCAAAGGTCAAAAAGGCTAATAAAAGCATATAACTTTTTATCGTTGACGCTTTTGCAGTTGTTTATACTATAGTCCGAAGGCAAAAAAGTTCAAAAAAGAAAATGATTTGAAAACTGGCTCACCTGAGGCAAAAATAGCTTTCCCGATAAGTGAATTAAGCCATTCGCAACGTCATATGTAGAGCAAGAAGCCGCTTCTTCATTTACTTGGTCGAACAGGGAAAAAGATAAACAATTTTATCTTTTTTAGAGGAAATACGACAAAAATATATACCGAAAATCAAAAATATTTTCGTAAAGACCAGGAGGGAGAAACATAGTTTTTCACTTTGTATCGCGGTATGTCAGTGGTAATTACCATGGGCAAAGGGGACCAGGTGACGTCACAAAGCTCAAAATCCACCATGTTTGTTGCTCCACTTTCTGATCAGGAGCCGGTCCTCCAGGAATTATTATATAGCTCAGTGATGTGGCGTCAGCAAAGCTCAAAATCCGCCATCCACTGAGCTATATAATAATTCCTGGAGGACCGGCTCCTGTCAAAAAAGTGAAGCAAGAAACATGGCGGATTTTTTCGTGCTGACGCCAGATATGGTCCGAAGAGGTCATGGCAATTACCACTGACACGGCTCAATATTGAGCCCACACCAGTGATTTTTTCCCCCGGTTACTTTTTGTCAGTAAACGTGCTGGATTTACGGTGGCCCACAAGTGTCACGGCAAAAGTAAAACGCACGGTAAAATAGAATTAACTCACGGCAATATAAAATTAACTCCCGGCAAAATGAAATTAACTCACGGCAATACGAAATTAACTCACGGTAAAATAGAATTAACTCACGGTAAAATGGAATTAACTCGCGGCAAAATAGAATTAACTCACGGCAAAACAGAATTAACTCACGTTAGTTGTACGTAACATGAAGTAGAGAGGGGTATTCCCGCGAAATATCTCCGTCATGGCCGACAGAAAGTAAAAGATGTTTTGTTCAGGCTGCGGAAAGGCGATTTACGAAGAGAATAAATTTTGTGCGAACTGTGGAATTGGTGAGTTAATTGTTCGATTAATAAAATTACGCTTATATCTTATTGTAGCATAATAGCATAATAGCCAATAAAAATATTAAATATATGCGCCTTACGGTTTTATATTTATAGTATGCTCCAGCATGTATTTGCAATGTATTTGCATTCGTTTAGCATATTTTATGTGTGATTGAATTTGTAATCATGATTAATTCTTATTGCAAATTACAATTTACAATTGAAAGTACAAAAAAAGATTTTCTTAAATTGGGTATTAAAGTGATTTAAAATTAAAACTTAAAAGCAAAAGTTTCTGGCCCCTAGCACACGAAAGCAAAACGTAGCCTTTATTTAAAAGACATGCAAAAATTTTGAGGCCCTACTGTCCCATGATCAAAACTCAAGAGTGTGCTTATGTGTATTCAAATTTTCATCATGACCCCGCCCCCCAATTCTAGTAGCCTCCCTAAATAAATAAATGATAAAATGTGCAATGGGCATAAGAAAGCATATAATTTGTATTCAATGTGAAAAAAAACAGCATTTAGTTACATTTTATATGCCTGTGTGCAAGCTTAGGTTGATTTATGAGCTAGGTATTTTTGTTTGAGATTTCGAAGAGCTGTGTTGAGACCTTTTTTATGATTTTCTGGTTTAGAGATAAAAAATGCAAACAGGGCTGGCATTAAATCTTTTAAAGAGTATCGAGAATTAAAAGGAAAAGAATGGAAAAAGCGTGTAACTAAAGATCAAACTCCAACCGCTAAAAAAAAGAGAGAGGAAAAGGATGTCGTGATTAATATTGGTTTTATGGAGTGGAGTGAGAAGGAACAAGAACTAAAACGTAAGCGAGGCAAACGACTTCCTCTTAGAGTATCACCAACACTCTCATACTGGCCTTTATTGAAAGAAGCAGAAACCAAATGGAAGAATTTTAACAGCAATCTTTACCAGCCTGAAGAAGTATATTTATTGTTGTATGAAGATGAACGAAATGCCATTTTGCTGCCTGGTTCAAATGAAAATTTCAGCTTAAAGCGCTACCGAGAAGAGATTGGAAAGGATTATAAGAATATAACATTTTATCTTTGTTCTTCATCTGATTTTGATCAAGCAGATCCTGTATTTGGCGATGCTTCATGCTCTAATCCTTCTTCTACAGTTGATTCTAAAGATGGTTCTGATGATTTAGCTACTGCTGGCAATCAACCAAATAAGCAGGAAAATCATGTAGAATATGAACCTACTTCTAAACATAGAAGATCCGAAAGCTTTGTGAATGAAAATGCTAATCCTGCAGAATCGCAAGAACAATTGCATGAATCAGAACAAATTGTTTTAGATGAAGAACTTGCTCGTGAAATGCAGAAGTTTGAAGAAGAATCTGTTTTGCAGGAAGATATTAGTTTTGAAACAGAAAAACTAATTGTTGACTCATTCTCTGTAATTAGCACAATCTCTCAAGCTGTAGATAGGTCAGAACAGTCGTTCATAGTTAGGCGTAGAGGCGTACCACTGCAAAGGACACTTGCTATATGGAAGAGAGAAGTCAAGAAGAATCCCCTTTTTTTGAAGAGGCTTCTAAGAGTTCACTTCTCTGGTGAACAAGGAATCGATTCTGGGGCAATAGCAAGAGAATTTTACAGTATAACTCTTCCTGAAATTGGTCTAAAGATGTTTCCCAATGGAAGTCCGATCGATTCTACTTCTAATGTGGAAAATGAGAGTTTTGTAACTTGTGGACAGATTGTAGCAACTAGCTTATCCCAAGGTGGCCCAGCTCCTAATTTCCTTCACGATAGTGTTTATAATCTTATGGTTAATCCAAATGTGTGTATGAGTGATCTCGATGCAAACAAACATTTGACTTCAGCAGATAAAAACCTACTTACTGCAGTCAGAAGTGATGTTTCCCTTCATCAGGAGACTATACTTGAACATGGCTACACTGGTGTCGTAAACCAAGATCACATAGAAGAAATAGTCAAGTCTATTATAATCAGTATAGTAATGAAAAGAGTAGTTTATTTGAAAGAATTCATGAGAGGGCTTGGTGTATATGGTCTTGCAGAAGTAGTCACAAAATACCCTGAGATTTGCAAATCCTTGTTTGTGCTTGATTCAAAGGACAATGATATTGTTGACGCAAACTACCTATTTTCATTGATGATTCCACAGTATTCGCCTGAAGGAAGCTCAAAGAGAATCACTGAAGAAACTATCATGGATAATTTTCAAGATTTTTTGTTTAAACTGGAGGATGAAGATATTACTGTATCCTTTGAAGAATCTGTCTCTTTTGATGCCGATGTCAACAATGAAAGTGTGGCAACATTCACCAAACCTGACTTCACACCATCAGGTGTAATGGGTTGGTTAACTGGTCAGAGGCACAAGCCGCTTAATGGAGAATCCATCACCATTTCTGTTTAATCATGATTGTGCTATCCATTATCCTGGTCATAAAGTTTGTTATCCAGTCATTGGTTCTTGTGGCAAATCAATAATCTTGCCAGTAAACCACATGAAAACAACAGATGAATTTACTGATATTTTTGTAAATGGATATTGCAATGGACAGACATTTGACCTTCATTGATTAGGACTATATGAGAGCCATGTACAGTCTCTACACTACATGCTTGGGGTTATTTAGACATGTTTTGTTCATATTTTATTTATGATGCATTTGTGCATGCTGTAGTTGTAAAATTTTGTTCCAAAACATTTGGACTCTAAAGCAGTCAGAGATACAAGACATACAAGATAAAAATATGTTCTGACAACAACTGAATGTAAATGTTACAAAAATGCTTAGGGGCTATTAACAAAGGATGTCCAACCAAATGTGAGATGGATAGAGGTATTATGGGGGTTCAATATGCCACATTAACATGAGAAGGAAAGTTGAAAATACAAGCAAAAATATTTTTTTTTAAATTCGGACTTCCATATTGCATCCCCCTCCCATGTTCTGATATTCCAAATCCCCTCCCCCTTGGCTGGAGCATCCTTTGTAAATGGCCCCTTATTGATCATTCTTTAAATAAGGTATTGTTATTAAAATTACTCAATTATATGGATGTGTCACATGCCATTTTCTGCAACATGCATTAACCTTTTATAGAATTCATATGCTTCTTGACAATCTTGTGGAAATGGGAGGCCAAGAGATTCTCTTGCATACTCAAAGTACTCTTCATACTCATTCGCCTGATTAATTTGAACTATTTCTTCACGAGCATAACTAATTTCATGTTCAGGTACTAGCATAAGAAGATTTTCAACACCTCCATGATGCTCAGGAAAGTAATAAATAGAGTCTGGCCGTCCACATACTGTATAATACCTTGATTTTCGTATACGATGTGTATTCCAATGTCCCTTAACTGTATCAATATCTTGCTGTAAAATACCAGAGAATGAAAACCACAGACATTCTTTGCTTAGGTCGTAGGATAAATCTATTTCCTCACGTGATTCCAAATCAGTAAAATAATTTCGCCACCACATAGAACGATTCTTTGAAAAATATGACCACCACCCTTCAATGCGCTGGTTTCTGGGAGATGGGACGTAGCGATGTGCATTTGGACTATCTCGGAAATAGCACTGGGCTGCTGCTACCAAACCATTTTCAGTGCCAAGATCTGTTACCACTTCAACTGGACAACCATTTTGTTCTTCTACAGATTTTAAATAGAACTTTGCTATGTTGTCTGGCGAATTATTGGAACGTGTGACATTAAGCCAAAGAATTTTGCGGCTATAACCGTCAATGGCACCATGAATGGGAAAGCCCCAGGGCTTAAGTTTGTCATACCCATCCATGTGCCACTAGTAGTTTGGCCCTGGGTTATGATATTCTCTCCTTTTAAGCCTGTGGGTTTTCCTTAGTTCAGTTCCTTCCGGATCAAGTTCTTTTAACATATCCTGTACAACTATCCTAGGCACTCGTAATCCTTCCATTTCAAGAGTATGCCAAACTGTTCGATAACCACCTGAGGAACCTGGACCATTTATTATTTCTTGAATACGTTGGCGAACCTGTTCTATAATGTCAGCAGAATGCGGATTATCTGCAAACTTTCTTCGCGTTAGGCCATACGTTTTCAATCTTCGTAGTAATGTGCTTCGACTCATCTTAAAATCGTGGCGTTTATCAAGGAACAACATCTCATCATAGCTGAATCCGCGGTTAAAATAGTAAGTGATAACACTTTCTTCTCTGTCTTCCTCACCTTCAGAAACTGAATCTTCAGAAAGCATAACTCATGTATTATAATACCCCATCTCTTCGAATTTAAAAATTATTTGGCACGATCGCTGATAGAAATTTGGCGGGATGGCGTCCACTACTTCATGTTACGAACACCAAATAGTTTGGATTTGATTTTTATTTTGCCGTGAGTTAATTTCATATTTCCGTGAGTTAATTTCATATTGCCGTGAGTTAATTTCATTTTGCCGTGAGTTAATTTCATATTGCCGTGAGTTAATTCTATTTTACCGTGAGTTTTACTTTTGCCGTGACACTTGTGGGCCACCGTATGGATTCGTTGTTTTGTGAACGACTAAATGTGTGTTTTACTGTAATGTTTTATAAACAATCCTGCCGCAACGGACATTAAGCAAATACTAAAATCACAAGGAATCGGGACAATTTTGAAGCTGAAGAGGTATTTACAAAGTTTTCTATAATATTTTGTTAAGATATTTTCATTATTTTTGATTGTATTTGCTTGTGCAAATCCTTGAGATGTATTAATAAACTGCTGAGATTGTTTTCGATCAGTAAAGAAACAACGTTGTTCATCTAGTAGTAGGCGAGGAATTTATTTAAGAATTGTTAGAAATACACGTCGCTTATCAGCCTTAATACCTGACCACAGATGAAAAACGAAAGCACAGTATAAATCCATTTGAAAACATGCGAAAATCTGTCGTTTACTTTTGATTGTCGTGTACTTCCCGATTCTCTAAATCGTTTTTGTTTTTATAGGCCTAGTCAAAGAAATCTAAAAACGGCTAAAGTGGTAATGATATTTGAATTGATCTTAAGCTAGTTTGGGTGACAGGTATGTAAATATTATGGTTTTTCCATCATATTATGTATTTAAGTATTTCAGTTAATTATCATTTAAGTATTCATTTAAGTATTTCAGTTAACTTAATCTAAACTAAAACTGTAGTCAGTTAGTTACTAGCTTATGCTTATGCCAAATTTGGTAGGAAATATTTTTGCTTTTCGGGAAGCAAATTTTGTTTCTGCATTAAAAGTCAATGTTTCCAGATGTGGGAGACAGGGAAACATTGGAGCAAACATTGAAAATCACGAATATTTTCGCGACAATGTTTCTTGCTGCGTTTGGCCAAGGCTATATTTAAGCGAAATATTTAACTTGTTTCTTGATTGTGTGAGTTGTATGTATATTTATATATTCTCCGTCCTGTTTGATACAGGTGGGTTTTTTACCTCACAAATTTTTATTGAATTAAGATGTTAATAAGTAGAATTATACGTTAAAACGGTATTTTGAAACAATAGCCAATAAATTGAAGTGATTTAGCATATGAGCAAGCAAAATGTACAATGTGTTTTAACAATATTTATTGTGTGTGTATTTATTCGTTAATATTACAAGGTTTGATCTTTATTCCGTGATTTTATTTTGTTATTTTTACACGGGAAATCGGGGAAAACCCACACGGAAAATCCATTTTTCCTGTCTGCGCGTGCGCATTGCGAGTTTGGCTGACAAGCGCATGCGTATTTGCTACTAAAACAATGGCGGTTCGAATATTTCGAAGCGCGAATATAGCAAACTTTGGAGGGATTTTTTTCCCATTTGTGCACCTGTTTCACTTGGGGAGCGACGGATTCTGATAAAGTAAGTTTTTATCTATTGATTCATGTGAAAATTATGTAGTTTCACGAGGGGTGCAACGGAATTGCATCTTTTGGATGCTCATCCTACGGCCTACTTCGCCTGATGCCTCTCTGGGCAAGTTATTAGTAATAAGGAATACACAAATGGTATTGTCCTTGTCTAGGTTTTAATCAGGTGAATCCCTCATAGTCCTCAAGAGGCCAATACATTTTTCCCTTGCTTCATATTGTGAACTTCCAGTCTCACTAAATATAATAAACATGTGTTGTATGTGGGGTTTGTTGAGTACTTTTGTTTGGCTACAATGCACCAATTCTAGTATTTCACAACATATTATTTGTCTCCACCAAATTATGTTCTATGCAGAAGCATTTCTGTATTCTGAGTCATTTTCATTATCACATATTTGCAGAACCATGCAATCTCTGATGAACTAGCTGTGTTGCTAATGTGTTTGAAAAGAAAGGTATCACAAAATACTGATGGATTATTTTGTTAGGAACTTTAATTAACATTAACTTTTAGAAATTTAGTTTTAAAATTATTAACAATTAATTATGAATAATATAAATGTAAAAATAGTAAATAACAACAATAATTCATTTTGCAACATTAAATGTGCAGTCTCTGCAATTTTTCAAAACATATGTCAGGCAAAGACGTTCGGCCTGACAGTTTCTTGCCAGGTGGCCCACTTTCCCACACTTGAAGCATTTTTTTTCTACAAAATACATACAACAATTACTGTAACTGGTTTTATTTTATATCTCATAAATACTAGCTAGTATTAATCATGCAATAGTTTGTGACTTTTCCTATTGGTTGCAAGATATATGAATTTGTTTATCAGTGGAAGAGTTGTTATATGGTATAACAGCACAATATTTCTTACTTTTGTGGTGATCCCTGTTAAATTCTGAAATAAATCAATATTTTAATTGTAATTAATAAGAGCAAATACATATGACAGGTGAAATGTTTCCTATTTCCCCTCAATACTTGTGCTTTGTGATATCAAAAAACTTTGAAAACTCATACTTCTTTTGCATGTGGCAGCTCTATGGCCCCTTTGGCCACAGTTGTAACATTTTCCTAAATAAAAATAATTATGGTCAATATAATTTTATTCCTGATGATTTGTTATAAGGGAGCAATAAATTTTAAATGGTTTACCTTGGAATTGTCTTCTTTCTTTATCATCTGTGTGAAAGATATTTGTGAAAAACTATTTATATATGACAGGACAAAACACGTTAATCATAACAATGCTGTTTCTAAGCGTTTAATGACATATAGGAAAGGTAGCATGTTTTTTATACATGGCTGTAGCTCTGCGGGCTGTATCCTTAGAAACAAAGATAGATACAGTCATACAGGCATGCTCTAGCTATGATATATTTTATCAAAAACCGGTCCAAACTTATTACGAGTACATGTCTTAAAAATTCATACCATTTTGGCGATTTTCTTCGGCGCCAACATCGGCGGACGTCGGCTCGCCGTTTTTGTTATCTCCGTTAGGCCCTTCAATATAGAATTTTACGATTTACTGAAGTGT